AAAGTACCTCAAGTGTTATCAATAAAAAAAAAAAAATATGCACACTTGAAAATCTTTTACATAGTCAAGTCAGTCTTAAAGAAAAAAATATACAGCATATCTATAACATAACAAAAATAGAGTGAAAAGACATACCTTGGCTGATTTGCACATCATCATGACTTTGTCAAAAACAAAAACATATCTGTAAAGAAATGAAACGTCATGAAAACAAACAATTATGCTGACATTTTGAAAGTCTGTCAATTTTAGGCCTACTTTCATGAAAAAGTCAGTAAATATTATTTCAAATAATTACTTATCAACCAACAGACCCTTTCCCTTTCCTTCCAAATAAAGGTTTGTTTAAATAAAGCCAGTTATACAATAAATCTGTCTGTATTTCTGTCTACCCCCCCCACCTTGCCCTTTCTGTCTGTCCCACTGTCTGTATCTCTCTATCACTCTCTCCCTTTGCCCCCCCCCCCCCATCCCCCCTGTCCCTCCCTCTCTCCCTCCCTATAAAGAAAAAAGAAAAGCCCCATACAACTAAATCTCAGGAAAATTACTTTCATTTTTATCCTTTTCTTCAATTTTCATCTTATTAAGCATATTGCAAAAACACATCAGCCTGTTTCTTTAATAAATTGACAAAATGCCTTCTAGCTTGTGACATGATATCTTCAAAGAACTTCACGCCTATAACATAGTCATCTACAGTGAAAGGTCCTAGGGATAATGGGCCATTATCAGTACCTTTTCTTATTGGGTTCTGGGTGACATTCAATCTTTATTTCTCCATCCAGCCTTAGTTTCCCAAGGTCCTCTCTTCGTCTTAGTTCCTCAGGAATGTCCATGATGCTTGTCTGCAAATCAAGATTTTTATCAATAACTGTCATGAAAGGTATATACACATGTATTGATAAGAGTGAGTCGCATCCTTGTTCTTTGTAATGGAAAAATATATATGAATTTCTTGATTGAGAGCAATATTAGGCATTACCATACAAATGCATATAAAACTATAATGGAGTTTCACTTGAGATTCCTGTGTCAGTACCTGAATGTCTTCAATTATCTGTAGCATTTCATTATCTCGTTTAACCTCATTGATATAGTCAGCTAGATCCATCATTGCCTCATGTGCCTTTTTCAAGTTCTCTAAATCTGGATGGTTCTGGAAAAATACACAAAAGAATACATGAAATAAATAGTCTCTGTGAATGGAAAACTTCCCTACCAGACACTTATTTATTTGCATCCCTAATTACATCGAGTCTTCACATGAACTGAAGTTTTATTTTCCCTTTCCATGCTTTTATCACAACTTTTAAAAGCACAGCTAAATGTCATTACATTAGATTAGTATATATGATAACACCCAAAAAGTTATTCTTATTTTCTAAAGGTAATAAATCAAATCAAATCACACTTTTTGTACTTACTGCTGATGTGTATCTGATGAGTTCTCGTAATAAAAGGTGATATTTCAAGATTCTCTGTAGAGGCACAACTAAATATTCTCGTAACTGGTGCCTTCCTTTACTGACTTCCTTCTGACATTCCTGATTACAAAAAACAAAAAAAACAATTAAAGCTTAAATACTAATTTCAAAATCTAATATTAAATCTTTAAAATTGCTCATATTATAAGAAACTGGAAAAAAAGAGCCTTGAAAAGCACATTTCAAGCATTACTCAGTAAATGTACTATCAGATGAATTATATCAAGTGTATTTTTAATTATCATTATTATTATTATTATTATTATTATTCCATCTACTGTGCTGATTTCCAGCCATCTGAACAGGTCAGTTTAGTCTGTATAACTATACTAATATCACTGCAACTACAATAAGTTTAATATACACTATATATGATACCATACTGGGAATAACCAGTAACTGAATAGGGGTTCAGTGACATACTACACAAGTCCACCAATAAACAAATGTAAATACTTAAGCCTATGCCCCAGGGGATGGCATATACATACATCAGCTTTATTTAGTGACTGTCTTTGCACATAGTACCTATTCACCTGTTTACCCTTTTCCTTGATTTTTGGAAATATTTTCTCTTATCTTATCTTGCTATTAGTAATGATCATAACATTATAATAATTATAATGCTATAAAAAAAATAACAAAATCTTTATTGATAGGTTAGAGAGAGAGAGAGAGAGAGAGAGAGAGAGAGAGAGAGAGAGAGAGAGAGAGAGAGAGAGAGAGAGAAGAGAGAGAGAGAAGAGAGAGAGAGAAGAGAGAGAGAGAAGAGAGAGAGAGAAGAGAGAGAGAGAAGAGAGAGAGAGAGAGGAGAGAGAGAGAGAGAGAGAGAGGAGAGAGAGAGGAGAGAGAGAGAGAGAGAGAGAGAGAGAGAGAGAGAAGAGAGAGAGAAGAGAGAGAGAAGAGAGAGAGAGAGAGAGAGAGAGAGAGAAGAGAGAGAAGAGAGAGAGAGAAGAGAGAGAAGAGAGACAAGAGAGAGAGAAGAGAGACAAGAGAGAGACAGGGGAGAGACAGGAGAGAGAGAGAGGAGAGAGAGAGGAGAGAGAAGAGAGAAGAGAGAGAGAAGAGAGAGAGAAGAGAGAAGAGAGAAGAGAGAGAGAGAGAGAGAGAAGAGAGAGAGAGAAGAGAGAGAGAAGAGAGAGAAGAGAGAGAAGAGAGAGAAGAGAGAGAAGAGAGAGAGAGAAGAGAGAGAGAGAGAGGAGAGAGAGAGAGAAGAGAGAAAGAGAGGAGAGAGAGAGAGAAGAGAGATCAAATATATATATATATATACATTATGTATATATATATATATATATATATATATATATATATATATATATGTATATAGATATATATATATATATATATATATTTGATTATTTATATATATATATATATATATATCTATATATCTATCTATATCTATCTATATATATATATATATATATATATATATATATATATATATATATATATATATATATATATATATATATATATATATATATATATCAATTACATATGGCTCAGTGGACCTTCAACCTTGAAAAAGTATCAGATACCCTTGTATATAATAACTGAAATCAAATAATGAATTTATCCTTTTAAACAATAACATACATATTTATAACTATTCCTCTAAAATAACAGTGAAAAGACAATAATATCCCAGCAAATCCCTGTGAAACACTAGAATGGTCTGTGAAGAGGGAATGGGGGATGGAGACTTGAAAATATGGAATGCATTACAATCTATTAGAATTAGAATCACACACTCACTACATGTTATACTATATTAGACTGAATAGTTAAGCCACGATATTCTATTTCACGTAAAAGAAAAAAAAAAAAGGAGGTGGGAGGCTCAAGGAAAGGAAAGCCTACGAGGGGGATAGGGTTATGAGGAGGACAGGGTGGCTAGAGGAAACTTGGTAAAAATCACGTTAAGGGTTAAGGAAAGAAATTGACTTACCAGCTTGAAACGTGCAACTTTAAAAATTCAGAGAGCATATGAAAAATGGATTATGGAAAAAAAATGAAATGTATTCTCATATTCTATCAAAGGGAAGGCTGAGTACAACAAAGGGGATTCTCATGCCCTAACCAATATCACATGAGTCTTTTAGTAGTAGTAGTATTAATCCCTCAATGACAGTATTAGAAATCTCTGTCATAGACTGGTGGAGCATTGCCACACACATAGCCATGCCCAGCAGATCAAGCAGTTTGTTATGATGGCAGTAACAATGACAAGGGTGACGGTTGCTTATGATGAGTGTTTATATTAATCTAAACATTTTTATGCCATGAAAAATAAATGAATATCTAACAGATCATATTCACATACCAAATGATTTTAAGAAAAAAAGAAATAAAAAATCATGATATAACATTCTTTACCAGGTAAAAAGAGTAACTGGAACTTGGTAGTAACTATAATCAGCCCACAGATGCCAGGATAGCATGTACATACATTCCATGTCCATTGCGATTTTAGCTTATTAATATTGTTACACACAGATGGCTCCACAAGTAACACTAGAACAATTTAAGAATCTGAAAATTCAAGGCATGGGAAATGAGACAAGGTTAACCCCTTGGTGACAGGTTAAGAAAACAAAAAACAAAAAACAAAACTACGCTTTGGTGACCAACGGCAGCGCACCAACTTTGAGCACAGGAGTTCAGTACATCAAGCCGAATCACTGGCTCACTGTGCTTTGGCACGCCACCGCAGTGTACAGCCACACAGCACATTTCAAGCAGTTTGTTTTCACACCTATAGGCGTAACCCGTCAGGAAAGGGCTAATTAGGGCCTTAGTGACAAAGCACTTGTGGAACTATCTGTACAAGACAAAATTCACATAACGAACCTACAGTTATATACCTGGTGCAAATGTATTAGCATATGAAGCTATACCCATCAGTCTGACTTTGACACTGGTGGAATCCTTTTATAATGGACTATTTATGAGGACTTTTTATACTTTAAAAATTTTCTTTGCCTTGTGTTATGAAAAGTGTGAGTACATTTTTACATTTTCCTTGCTAATGTCAGGTTACATGACAAAGTTCCTGACCTGGACTCTGTATCAAGGCCTGACGAGATGTTCAGCAAGTTCCTGAGAGAGGAACTGCTGGAAAATATTATACAGGAGATGAACCAGTAAGCACATCATATTATATAACAAGTTTGCTGATTTGAAAATACTTATTTGCAATATCTCACATTCTACCTCTTGCAAACATGATTTATACTTAGTCAGTTCTCTTTGTTCTGCAAATATGTTTCGCAGCACCCGATGACACCCTCTGCCCACGAGGGATTAGGTGTATACTATAGTAAAGGAGCATGAGGTGTACATGGGGCTGCAATTCCTGATGGTATTGCAGCACAGGTCTTACAAGCAGGACCTCTGGTCTCATGACCTCCTGATTGTGTCAGAAATTTTCCTGTTGACTATGTATAAGGATTGGTTTGATGCCATCACATCAGCACTCCATTTTGCCGACCATCCTGATGCTGATTGGCTTTAGAAGTTGTGGCCCATCACTGATGAGCTCAATGCAGTTTTCCACCTTTTAATCCCTAACAAGATGATAATGATGGATGAGAGCCATTAACCCCTTCACGACGGGTGACGCCTAGAGGCGTGAAAACAAACCGCTCGAAATGTGGTGTGCCGGTGATTCGGCCTGATGTACCAAGCTCCCACACTCAAAGTCTGCGTGCTTCCATTGATCGCCAGAGCGTTGATTTTTTTTTTTTTAGTTTTCTTCACCTTCACCATTGGGTTAAGCACTCCAGCATATGCCAAGTAAGAGAACATAAAGGGGCTTGAATGTGTACAAATTCTGTTCAAGCAACAGACCAGAGGTCAGCTACACCAGCACCTTCCACACCTACATGAGGCAAGACCCTGACAACAGGTATTTGTCACCTGCACTATTCCACTACCAGGAGGCAAAGAAAAGAAACATTGTAAGGACAGTAAAAACCAACCATAAGTACATGCCATCAGACCTGCACATATAAGGGTGAGGAAGTATGGACTACTGAAGCACCCAGACAGATTGCTTATCCTGCAGTGGGTGGACAACTGGCAGTGACAATGTTGCCCATTATCCACACCAGTGAGACAGTAACATTTCCTCCTGAGTGCCAAAGGCTTGAAAGAAACAAGCCAAAGGTAGTGGTGGACTACACTGTTGGCTTGAAGGGAGCTGACTTCAAAGATCAGCTAGCTGAGTCTTACCTGGCCACACTCAAAACAATAAAGTGGTACATGAAGGTTTTCTTCAACCTATTTGACCTAGCCATCCACAAAATCTTTGGCAATAAGATGGCACAAACCAAATTCAAAACAGAGCTCTTGCAAGGTTTATTACAGCAGGGAAGTGCTAAGGAAGAAGAAGGAACCTCCATCCCCTGCTCCTGCTGCCTGCCACAGAACACAAGCCAGAGGACACTCCCTTCTGCAAGTGGAGGATATGTGCCTTTTGCTTGGAAAAGAAGAAGAGGAAGGACACCAGAATCTTGTGCAAGATCTGTCAGGTCTCCCTGTGCCCTTCTTCTTGCTTTAGGGTGTACCACACAGCTCAATGTGTTCCCTAAGCATATAAACTGATCAATAATTGTATATATAATTGCATATATACTTATTTTTAACAAAGTGACTCTCTATAATTGTATATATATTTGTAAAAAAAAAGTTTTCCTTTGGAAATACACCACTTCTTTCACAGAGTAAACTGCCACACACAAGTAGTAATATAAAGTTTATACGACAACATATGTCAGTAATGTCCTTCATAGAACTTCTGATATGGGTAAAATAAGCCTTCAAACATGAACATATAATAAAATGTTGTAACCATTTCCTGCAAATTGCCCACCTGGCTGTACATAATGAATGTCTTAACGGGAGTATAAGCGGCTGTCAGTATTCCCCAGAATGAGTGCAAGACAGCAAATTTTTGCCCTGTCAACATAAGTCTGATACCCTTACCTGAATCTTTTGTCGTGCAGCATCATTGTTCTTCATCGTGTCTTCTAACTCTTGCTGAGCTGAGGTGAGATTAGCACAATATTCTCCATAAACTAAAAGCTTTTCCTGGTTATCAAGGAAGACTTGAGACACACTGTAGGCATGGGGGTTGTTTTGTGCTTTCTTAAGACCCTGATGTAAAATTCTATGAATCTTGGCTAATTCCTGAAGAAAAAAGACAAAGCATTGCATTTAATTAGGAAAAAAATCCTTAAATAGAAAAAAAATATATGGTGAGCTTTATGAATATGAAAAAGGTGTATTAACATAAATGCTATATACCAGTCTCAACATTCAATAATACTATGGAAAAATATATATTCATATAAAACATATATTCATACTTAGCAGTACGATTGTTTACACTTACTGTCAAACCTTACTTAGCATTATATATAATCACATGAATATGGTTTACCACAGTAAGACGCCAGAATATTTTTAATCGTTTTTTTGTGATGCATGACTCACTTTTTCTAAAAGACTGAATAAATTGTAACATAACAAAAGAAAAACAAATCATTGTACATGCGAGTATTTAAAATGTCCTTCTGTATTAATAAAAAAATATTTTCATTCCTAAATAAAACGTGAAAACAAATACTGACTACAGAATATATTCACAAAAAAATTGGTTATAGCTATTGCCATACTTTATAACATAAAAAATATTTTTTTGGGGAAAATCAACTTGTTATTACTAAATAGGCAATCTTCTTGCATTACCGGTATTTTTGAAAAAATTTTCACAATCTGACTTTCTTCAATTAGTTCTCTAAGTGGTCTGAGGAACTTATTCGTGAGCATCTCGAGTGCTTCGACATAATTGTTTTCAGTCTCTATGAAAAAAAAACTAAATAGGCAATCTTCTTGCATTACCGGTATTTTTGAAAAAATTTTCACAATCTGACTTTCTTCAATTAGTTCTCTAAGTGGTCTGAGGAACTTATTCGTGAGCATCTCGAGTGCTTCGACATAATTGTTTTCAGTCTCTATGAGCTCCTGCAGGCAGAGGTCTCGTTTCTCCCTTGGTAAGTCTCTGGCCAGTTCCTGAAAATGTGGTGATGCTTTAGTATTCTGGAATAAGATGGTCAAAAAACTCAAACATTCTTTTCTTTTATGAATAACAAGAAAAGGTCATCTAAAAAGTATAAATAAAATAAACAAATAAAAAACAAAAACAACCTACTTTTTTCTAAAGACTAATTTTGAAAGATGATCACTCTTTTTAACATGGTGTACAATATGGCAAAGAAGAATTACAGGAAAAAAAAAAAGAGATTATATAAAAGTATCAAAATATAGGAAGAAAGTTAAGTTCAAAGGTCATTTAATGGGATTAGCTGGATCTCCTTCTCAAATTTGAATATTTTTTTGTATAACTTTCAAACTCACAACTTTCAATGCCTGTCTAAAAAGACCATCACAGCTTCGTGTTATGGGAATTTCAAACCTAGGAGGAGGAATTTCGTCATATTTTAATGAGAAATCAATCTCAATGGAATGTCCATTTTACTGTTTTTTTTTTTTGTTTTTTGTTTTTCTAACTTCAACTTCCTACTTGTGTGGCAGTAAATAAAAACTAGTTTGTTTGTTTTATACTGAAAAAAAAAAACATATTACAAACTTGTAAACAAGAATAAAAAACAACTTGAAAATCTAGAATGTACACTCCCTAAAATCTGTAATTCTTAAATAATTATGTTGCAAATTATGCCTTGAGCGACAAATCAAAGAAAAAAATCAAGAAATTACAATTGACATATAATAAGAATTTCATCTCAAATTATCTATCAAACAATTCTGGTGTGAGCTATGAATTAAATCTATATTTTATCAAATTCAATTATTTAACATCATTCTTTGCCATACAAAATACACCACATTTTGAGAGAGAGAGAGAGAAAAAAAAAAAAACTTATGATGAAAGAATGTCATGAAACAATTATATCATCCATAATCAGTTAATTCAAATCCCTAGCATTAATTACAGAAAAAAAAAACAATAAAAAACACAATAAATAGCATCGAGCAATTTTTAGCAATGAAACATTCCTGTAAAATCATGATGCCAATGACAGTAAGCACTTACCATGTCCAAAAAGCAGTCTTGACTTTCACAGTTGCAAGGCAAATGAACAGGCTCACCGAAGCTAACTACACAAACGTAACTACTGTACATGACATAGAAGCTCTCAAAAATGAAAGAGAAGGGAAAAATAACCAGGTAAAAAGAGCACAAAAAGAGCAGAAGCCAGTATCTATATTCCTCATGATAAAGGTGTTGCACTAGGCAGAGGCAATATATGCTGAAGAAATTTTGAACTAATATTATGCAAACTTACTTCGACTAACTGAGAATAATAGGGCTCAAATTCCGTGGGAGTGTCGTAAATGTTTTCCTCCCACTAAAAAGACATGCATATTAGTCTTGATAAATCAGGAAAAATATAAGTGTGTTAGCAGGACTGCCTATTTGAACTAAAGAAAAAAGGGGGATGAAAAACTTTCTAGGCCAAACAGCATTCCAAGATATTCAGCACACCAATGATTATATATAAAACGGAGCATTGTAATACAAGACGTCATAGTATTACTACTACTTGTGATAAGTGCACGATTTATGAGGATAATGATAATGACAATAATAAGCATTCCTTATGTCAGTTCTGGGGAATACAAATATTTCCATCTTTTATGTCACCAAACTGTTGAAAAGGTGAAAAAGAAAAGAAATCTTTATCATGCATATTATAAATGACATGCCCATAAAGACTTAAATGGAATAATTATTACCACTGGCTATCATTCGAGTATATCCCATTGGTACAGGTACAGGCACTGCCCATCATAATTTTGTTTCATCCATTTTGTTTACAGTTACATGACTCCACTAGTGCTTTGTCACCAAGGAGTCAATCACTAGGCTCATATGTTTCCCTATTCCTTAAATTTTGTTGAAAAAAAAATAAAATGCATTTCTAATACTACTACGATCATTATCTCATATCACTATATTCACCATGGTATTAACAATAACAGTTACATAAAGAAAATCTATACAAATAAAGGAATGAGGGAAAGAGGTGACATCAGGTTGGCCTCTTATTTGAGTCTTTGGTGTTAAAACAATTATGGAGCTGTGGAGCTGCCAGTGCAAATAAAAATGATAAAACTAAAATCACAATGGACAGGGCGAGTGTACATCCACTCCAACCTTCGGTGTATTAACCCGTTCGCCCTGGATTTATGTTCTGTCCCCTGTAGTTTTTCGTGAATTTTGTTATATACAGATGGCTCCACATGTGCTCAGCCAGCAAGGAGTCTATCAATAGGCCCTAGTTACCGATCCTGATTTTCCCATTCATTGAATTGGCGGGAAAATTAATACCACTGCTATCGATACTGTTATTATTATTATTGATGTTATGATTATCAAATTGTCATTAGAATATTTTAGACAATGAAATGATACAATAAACCATTTC